CATCTCCAAAGACGACCACTGTCTTATGTAAAAGGCTACAGGTTTCATTTGGGCCGTGATTACCCTTGGTACCTCATCTTGGAAATACAGCATAGCACCAATGAAGGCAAAGGAAAGCAATTTAGTAAAATACCAGGGCCTAAACAACAATGCCAAACTTTGCGTGTCAGTGACAAATGACGAAGCACATTCCACTCCTCATCATACACCGCGCCTCAGTATGTCAGTGGGGCATGGTGCCCATGAAGCAAAAATACAAATTAAAGCAAAAACAGTGAAATCACATATTAAGCAGGGTTGTCCATTCAAAGAAGCATGCTAGCGAAGCGCACCTTTTGACCCTAGCGAGATTGTTTTTCTTTACACTTCTACACACCTTTCACACGCACAGGTAGGCGTGATAGTTGGAGCGATGGTTTGCGAAAAGATGCGAGACGGAATGCACGGTAAATGAACCACAAAAATGTAGACGAGTTTCAGAAGCATCAATGGCAAGAAGCGCACTTGAACTCGAAGGAATGTGGGAACGCAGGGAGCATGTTTAAGTAACGTTAGTACTAGGCGATTAGTGGGATTCGCACTAAAAGCCCAGTACTGACGCGCGATCGCAAGGGAAAGCTCTTGCTGCCGTTGAGAGTAAAGGTTCAAGTCCGCTTTCTACCGTTTTCGAGAGGTAATCTCCGATTTCCAATGAAAATTGCCTCCCCTTTTTTTCTCATGGCCGATTTGCAAATTTCTTTTCGGAGAGGCACATCCTCAGATGGTAAGGAAGAATTCGGTCGAAACCACAAAATTCAAATCTGGAAGCGTTTGGCCTGTAGAGCTGTCATACATACACGCACACAAACTCACAATTGTCGCTCGATCTAGCTAGCGGCCAGAATCACACACGCAATGTATATATTGAACCTCCGGACCTCGGTTGCTTCGAATCCGAGGTCCTCCGGTTTGAATGATATCACTCACGTACATCTAACACGACGAAAAAGAATTGCGAAGAACTTTCGTTCTCGTCAGCTTCCTTGAGTCGCTCTTGAAAGCTTTCAAAGGAATGAAGGCCATGCGACGAAAGAGCAGGAAAATCTGCAATACTATATTTCGAGCGATGGAAAAAACGCCAGGAAACTGCGTTGATACGTTTCCTTACGAAGCCCGTGTGCATGCAAGTGGTGGCAAACTCATAGTTGATCACGAACTCGGTTGATCTTGTGGTCAATGCGTTGTAATTGCACGAGTGAGTGCGTACATGGACCGAATTCAGTATCAAGTTGGGAAATATTGTAATATATAACTTTTATAATATAACTTTTCCTAGTTTGAGCAGGACAATGACATAACCCGTTGATTGTACCTCTCAGTATTTGTCGTACCAGTACAGTACTTTGCCTTTTTAATGTTTAGAATCCTTTTTTTTGCAGGTCCTCCAAGAGGCATTATCTCAGGCAGAGGCGAGCACGAATGCCTCTGTAGGCAAGAATTTCTCTGCATTTCCATAATTCGCCTTTCAGCATAACCAGTACCGAAAATGTAGTACTTGCGACTCTCAAACGAAATATCCCAGACCCAGCCAAGTCAATAAGTACCTTAAGGAGTTGAAGTCGGTCCGATACATACTTGATAGTACTTTTCGGTACTCCTAGCACATGATACAGCATACCTCCCAATCCTGTCGAGTTTAGTCGTGAGCTCATGAGTGAAATGCGATGCTGAGCTTTTGAGTCGGGAACTTCACGGGAAAGGACGTGATCCTCATAGCAAGGCTCAGTCCCGGATTTTCCTGCTTCTCCCCCTCCTCTCCCCCTCGCATATATACTAAATTGGAAAGCATAGATCATGACCTTCTCGAGGAAAAAGTGGATGTCAGTATGTCTTTCCGCCACTCGTCTATCGGCCCGACGGGAGAGGGCGAACAAAGCAATGAGACGCACGCTCGTCGAAGGAAACGAGGAAAGTTTCCTCAGTTAGAATTAGGGAGTCACACGGTGAAGAATGAAGATCCCGGCCTTCGTCTTCGTGTTCCTCCTCCTTCCATGGGGAAGCCTCGAGCAGACTTGCCCCGCTGCCCCGCCTGCTCTCTCGTGTGAGAACCCACATTCACTCATTTAATCATGCCTCAGAGTAAAAGCCATTCTTTGTGTCATGGGGCATTCGAATGAATAGAGACGAACGGACGGTATCGATCCAGGATAAATCGTGAAGGAAAGCTTGCCTCTTCGAGGAAGAATTGCCTATTTTCCAGGCGGAATTTAGAGGAAATTAAAGAAAATGGAGGACAATTATCAGTTCTGGCGACCGTCAAATATGACGAAGTATACGATGTCAAAATGTCCTTTGCCTGATTAGTGACTGCTACTTGAGTATATTTATGAATTCAATGTCAATAGCGAATCCAGCTGTATCAAACTTAAGGGAATATATTCGTTTATGAATTACGAAATTCACTTTGAACGCTTTCAGATGATTGCACTTCATCTTTCGGTGCATTTCTCTTCGTTTTTCGTAAAGGATCATCAACGATCGATCGAGCGTCAAAGTTGAACATTAGGAAGTCGGCGTTCTGAATGAATTTTTGACAATGAATTTAGCATTCAACAGGATTAGCACATAGAATGTCTGCATCCTGCATCTACTTACTGGTATTGATTTTCCTTTACTTCTTCATACGGGAGAGAGAAAATGGATAGTCTGTGGCCGATTCCGGCATCGTAAATATATTCTTCGCACGTTCGAGGCAATCGCAGGCGCATGCTCCTTGATGCTCTCACTCTCGCCATGAATGATGATAAGTGAAACGGCGCGAGCTACGTGTCTCAATATTATCTCTATAAATTTTGCAACACCACACGTCGGAGGGGGACTAATTTCTAGGACCTTTCCACCTTTTTCATTACGGAAAGGCAGTAGATTTATGGCATGACGGTTACTTAGAACGAAGTTTCTGTACTTTACACTTGGTTTTTAGGGAGTTGGAGGAGCGAGAAACGAGCACCATGAGAATCTAGCTATCGTACGACACATTCAGTCAGACATGAGAACGCAATGCTTCCTTCGAAAGTCCGAAAAAGACATTTCAAAGCCGGAAATATAACTCTACCGGTAGAAATGTAACAGTTACCGGAAGAAAGAAAATTTATTTCAATAGCTGCGAGGCTTGAAAGTGCAACCGCTTTTCGCAAATTCTTCTTCCGACATGCTTCGCAAACAGAATACGGAAAATGAGGTATTTAACATCAAAGGGAGGATTACAAAACATATATTTATCTAATATATATAGACGATCGTGACTGACTGGCGCTAATTCTAACTATGTTCTAGAAAGGTTAGAAATCTGAATCCTGGTACACAAGTACCTATTGGGACGCAGGATTCAGAAAAAAACCGATTTTGGTAGGTACATGCCCTGGGGGTACAAATTTTGGGGGGGGGAGGCTTTTAACTCTATATATTGTGACGGATGAGGATGTCATCGAGAGGCCTGACTGGTTGTCCCGGGTTCGGTGGTGTAGTGGTAGCACAACTGACCGGCAATCAGGAGGCCCGGGTTCAATTCCCCGGTCAATCCTTGGCTTTCCTTCGGCTTCTCATACCTTCCGAGTCCTGTTACTCATTCCCCCTACGTAACATATCTACCTATTGGGATGATGCGTACAGACAAATTCAGACTTTGGAAGAATATGCCCTGGGGGCACAAATTTCAAAGGGAGATGGTTTCAAATAATTTTTTGCATCAGTTCAACTGATGAATATGGAAAGCTGAAACTTTCCATGAAAGTGACTACTGAGACAAGGAGTCATAGAAAAATGTTAAGTCTCGATAAATCCCCTGGGGGAATTTTTTCGGGGGGCGATGTTTAAAAAAATTGTCATGGCGAATTGGACAGAAATGGAAAGGTGGAACTTGGCACATGTATAAGTGACATGATATTATTGAGTTGGGGGAGTATTCAGCTTTCGTGGTGCATCCCCTCCGGGCATAGCTTTTGGGTTGGTCGGCTTTTCCAAACATGTTTTTTCACCAGCGAAAAGGACATAGGTTGAAACGTTTCACCATCTAGTTGGCATTAGGAATCTCTGAGGATTGATTTCGGTAAAAAAAAAAAGGTATTTTTCGGTTAAAACGCCTCAGGGCACATATTTTGCAAAATGCGTATTTTCCCGTGATGTTGATTTAAGGAAAACTTCTATAGTAAAACCATAGTAAAATCATATCTAGACCTATATAGACCATAGTAAAACATATAATTCATTTTCAGCAATTAATCACCTTAGAAAAATCAAGAGAAATTCATATAGTCATAAACTATTAGTAAAATGGAACAGCAACAATATAGGATCGATGATACAAAATGTTGCAGTAACGAGCGCGGCCTGTGGAACATGGAGCCCCACAAGAGACGAGACCACAAACATCGGTGAGTCGAGACAGGTCTCACAGAGTTGGCTGGAACGCCTCTGGAATGGATTTCTGGGAATTCTGTCGGGGAACACGCGACAAGACGGCCCCCTCATCATCGGGGGATCCCCCGCTAGCATCACGCAAGCCCCGTTCATGGCCTACCTGTACGCCACATTCCCCAAGCAGGGGTTATCGAAGCCAACTAAGGAATGCAGCGCCTCCATCCTCAGCGAGCAGTGGATCCTCACGGCAGCTCATTGCATCTATGACGATGCAAGGTATGTAGTTCCCTTTAATTAAAATACATTTCTCTTTCAATTAAAGGGAAAAATATATAAGGCATATGACACGAAAACTCCTTTACCATATGCACGTTTCATTTTTGGCTTCTTCCCTTAACTTAAGTGCTTCTTCCTTTATGGGAATCGCCAAACCAATAGTCTTAGCGAGGAAGAAATATTGAGGTGTTAACTGCTCAAACCGGCATTGTTTTTTATGTCTTAAAATACTAGGAAAGGCAACTTAGACCAAAGGTGGTTTTACGACAAGGGAGAATGATGGAAACACGCGGTCCCTCTTATCTGGTTTTTGAATCACAGAAACAGTATCGCACTAGTGTTATCAAGATATGAGATCAGAAAACGTCATTCTTGCATCCGCCTTTTTCATTTTTGAAAATTAATCCTGAATTCAGCATCTCTCGTGAAGAACTATGTGAGCAGAGGAGAGTAAAAAAACTAGTTCCTCACGATTCCAGGCCACAAGGCCTTCTAAAAGACATCGTCATTAGGAATGCATCATCCACGGTGCCCTCGTAGGGGATGGTGGACACAGGATTGGGATAAAAATAATACGATCCACTAGGAATATATATAAGTACAATATGGCATACTTATCATATGCTCATTTTTCGTTGCAGCAACATCGCTACTCAGATAACTGCCCGGGTGGGAAGTGCAGATCGGACGTCTGCGGCTTCAATCAAAGCGGATAGATGGTTAGCTTATCCAAGCTACAACAAGAGTAAGTAGACAATGAAATGATATACTGTCGCATTTACTAGTTACATTTAATCCAAAATGCAGTTTAATTAAGAAAATGGAGTAGCACTCACTCCAGGGATTCTATTGTAGCATTTACTCAAGTGTCACGTTCAGGCACATTTCTAAACTATTTAAATCTGAAAGAATTTATCTTCAGGGTTTCCCCAACAGGTGACCCTACGAAGAACTATGATGTGGCCTTGATCCACTTACCCAAGCGTCTAACGTTTAGCAGCACTGTCCGGCCCATATGCTACCCTCAGTCGGACAACGTCTTGGGAACAAGCATTTCTTGGTGCGACAAGAAGGCCTATGGTTGGGGGTACCTTCAGGCCACCGACCAATATGGTTCCACCATATTGCAAAAGCTAATTGTTCAAGTGACGCCGACTACCACTGACTGCACCACCTACACCGACGAAAGAATCATTTGCGTGAAGGGAGATCCACCGTCCAGCGGCGTTTGCCACGTAAGGGTCATTTTCTTTAGCACGACTTAATATATTACAAAGCACGGAATCACTTTTTCGCAGGAAGTCTTTCAATCGCCAATTTCAAGTGTTTTATCTGAAAACGAAAGAGGAAAGAGGGATTGGGGTTTTCTGGCCTCAAATTTCAACAAAGTAATTTTGAATATGAAAATAAAATATGGATGAAAAATAATGAAATAATATTGAGATTCATAGTAAAAAGTTCGCTTGCGCGTTCGCATCTTAAGTATACAGGTACTGAAAGGCAATTTCACAGACTCCGAATTACCCAGGAGCTGCGAGGAAGAAATAATCGTCTCTTTGGAAAATGCCATCTCTTAATTAAATAATTTCGCTATTAAGAAACATGAGTAAGGAACGACAGAAGGTAACTTAGGATTCCTCATTTGAGTCTTTACTTTTGCAATTCCTTTCATGTTGCAATTCGTGCATGATTCACCCAGGCACACTATTTCCTAGTTTTTAGAAGTAATGCAACAACATATCACAAGAGAACCATATTGAGAATCTGAGCCAAATATGGGCTTACACTCCTTCATAAAGGAGCAGGCTTACCATATAAAAGGTAATTCGGGTTAGGTTAAAATGTGAAGTCATTGGAGGGGGCACATTCACGTGGGTAATTGATCATTCTCCCTCGGATTACTCCTGTTGAGGGAGATAATTTATAGTACAAAAAATTATTTCTGCTGCGATGGAGAAATTATGTTAATCTGTTAACCAAACTCATCACGTTCCAATGCTGAACCTGGATAGCATTCACATATTACCCAAAGTTGCCTATAATTATATCGTTAAGTGAAAAACTTTCCCAACTGCTTTTCACGAACCCCGGGCATAATTTCCTGGAGTTGGCTTACCGCTTATGTACATTTCCTGAATCTGCTGAATAGGGAGACAGCGGTGGACCGTTGGTGGTGCTATACGGTATTGCCTACGTGACCGGGATCGCCTCCTACGTTCAAGATGAATCATGCGTGACTGGTGCTGCAGGCTACACGAGAGCCTCTACGTACGCCTCTTGGGTCAAGTCCACCATCGGAGCTTGACGGAGCATCGAGGAGGACGAATGGATGTTGTGATCTTGATGCCAGGGTGGATATGCGACTTTTCCACTGTTTCGTGTGTTTATATGCACGCAAAGAGTGAATGGGAAGTCTGACCTTCGCGTTCGCGGTGACTCGTGTATTTCTATGGACACGTTCGGGCACTCTGTGGGTATCTACTCTCCCTGGCCAAAGAACAAGTTTGGTGATATTGCGAAAGAAATCTGATACTGGCGCCTGAAGAGATTCGAGAAGGGAATGAATGAAAATTATCGTTTGGACATGAGTGATCGAGGACTCGGGGGAAATTGTGATGTTTTCACGAAAAGTGAATTTCGTGTCCTATGATTCTTTGTTCACACGTCAAGGAAAATTCTCTAGATCGTTTCATTTTGTGTCGTATGGTCGTATGGGAAGGTGCACAAGCTTGGGAATGCATATAATGAATGGATATCCATATATAGGCATGTACTGTACATAGCGTTTCAACCGAGAGCAAAAAAAGTCTGGTTTGGTAAGATCATTTCATGGCAATATCATGGTTCGTGGCAATATCGCCAATGTAACACATCTGTGAAAATTATTTTTGACGTCAATGTGTTAAGTGTTATTGTAATACTGGAAATACAGCAATTGGAACTGGGCTTTCTTTAGCGTTTGCTCACACGGTATTTTGTTTTATTTCAATATTATGGGTTTCCTTCATTATGCGTGAAGTGTTTCACTGCAGTCAAAGGAAGACTTGAATTTGTGAAAGTGAGTAAATGAGATATTAGCATTAATTCAATACGAAGTATGCATATTCGTTCTTAATTTCGAATTTATGTGGTTTCCTTTATATGGGGAAGTGGGTCGAACGAAACACACCGATGTATGATGTGGTATCAGAAGAAAAATATAAAAAATATATGCATAACTACGGGGATTAATGAAGGTCATGAGGTCAGACAAAGGCCTTCCTTTCTGAACACTCCACCTACGGACCCAGTTGGGCCTAAAAGGCTCAATCTTGGGGTTTTCGAGGCACCACTGCGAGGAAGTTTAACGTTAGGGCGACGTCCTTGCATTAGAGAACGGGATTTCCATCGCGGAAAACGACGTTGTTAGGATGCGCAAGACAAAGACGGGCGCGCCTCTTCCCTTCATCCTTGTAAAAGTCACAGATTTCTCTAACGCGCGAGGCATCGTGAGGGTTCAATCCGTTCTCCAACGCAGAATCATCAATCGTTTCGAGTGCCTCCAATATGGACACGACATTGGACGATGCAAGGCGGACCTTGACACCTGGCAAGGGCCACGCCTCGAAGAACTGCCAGGTCAGAACCAACGGGCTCCCCGGAAATGCAGGCACTGCCTGGGAAGCCAGATGCGAACTCCACCGCCTGCTCCAAACTGCAGGAAAGACGGCGGCAGATCCCCCGTGACCCCAGATTTGCCGGCTCTCTTCTAGCCAAAAAGATTCGACGGAATTAAGGGAGCGAACGAACCCTGGAACTTTCTCCAAGCCCGCGTTCAACTACCCACGGCCCACCTCGCCTATGACAGCTACGATGCTCGTCCTTGCTTCGCCTTCCGCCGCGCGCGCCCAACGAGCGCGACACCGTGCTGCTAATCAATCTGCAGCAGCTGCAGGGCATATTCCTCGCACTGCCAGCGTATGGTATCTCCCTTCTCTCACCCACTCTGCTCTATCCCCGACCTACCCCACTTCTCATGTTAATCAATGACGCAACAACCATCCGTCAAAATCTTTCGTTTAAATTGCCTGGCCTTCCAAGGCAAGCGCGCCGAAATTCTCAATTAATTGGAACATGTAAAGCCTAGCATAATTTGCCTGAGTAAATTGAAACGTAAGGAAACACCTCTAATTAGAAATTACAATATTAACAAGCCCTGCTTCCCTTCCAGACCGTATCAAGGGAGCTCATCGGTTTATCTTCTGAGTAATCTTGATTCTGACTTAATTAATCGTAGTTGCCACTCTAACTCTGAAATAAGTGGTACAAAATAACGTTTCCAAGCAACCTCTATTACAAGCTTTCGCGCCTATTTCCCATCCCTACTTTCCCCTTCCTCTTCCGATCACGAATTCTTTAATTGGACAAAAAGGTCCTTCGATTCTTCTTGGTGTTCTCAACGCAGATTCTCCAGATCTTTCCTTTTGTGCTAATTCTAACGCAACAGAATGTAACATGAGCTATTTCATAGCTCCAAGAGCTGCACCATTTAAAACGACCGATCCCCCACCCATCATTGTCCCAATCAGAGCAATCCATATCGAATTGACCTTGCTTTGGGCACCGCATAGTTTCTCCCCTTCTTTCAAGCGATCATGTGCCCATAATAATAACTTGTAATTTCTCTCACCAACTTCTGCCAGCAATCAGTAACCCTCTCCCGGATTTTCGCAATGCCGACTTGCCCAGTTTCCAGGACACTATTGAAATGCGCTTCTCCCTGATCCTCCCCCCCCCCCCCCCCTCCTCCCCCTCGGGCGTCCACCAGCTAGACGAGGCAGTAACTGTCATCACTGAAGCGATTCAAATAGCTCTAGATATAAATATTCCTAGGATGTAATCCTCCATTAAACCGTATAATCTCTCAGAAATTGCACTCTCTAAAATTGAAGAAATGAGGAAACTTCGCAGATATTGCCACCGATCTCAAGACCCAGTCCTTAAACCTGTAAACAATGAACTTAATCATGAAATCAAAGCTCTTCTTAAAGACGAGAGCGGCCAGTATTGGAATGCATTTTGCGAAGAGCCTAATACTGAAGAAGACCCTGTAAATTTTTATAAGCTTTTTTCAAGCTTAGGAAACCCAAGAGTTTACCTAAGATAGGCCGCTCAAATACTTGAACGGGACTCACTGCAGTGACGGCAGCAAGGCCGCCGTTTTAGCGAAGCCATTGCAGAACCCGCGAGCTCCCTTGACCCGAGATCGCCCGCAGAATGTCTCCGTCTCGAAAAAAGCAATGTAAACTTCTCTCTTTTTGCCTTTAACGGTTCCTCTCGGCCTGAAGAGCTCTCTGGTGCTCAGAGCCGCTTTCCCAACGAGATTACATTCGACGAGATCGAGACCGCGATTGAAACCTCGCCTAACAAAGCTCCAGGCCCAGATAATGTTTTTATGAATAGCATTAAAAACCTTTCTCATAGAGCTTTCAAAGCCATTCATCTTACCTATAATATATGTCTTCGTTTAGGTCACGTCCCCCTCAACTGGAAGTCCGCAGCAATCACGATGATCCCTAAGCCTGACAAAGACCTATCAGGTCCTTTCTCCTATCGTCCTATCGGTCTCCTCAGCTGTCTTTAGAAAATCTTGGAGAAAATAATTACTGCCAGACTCTTATTTTATTATGATTATCTCGAATTTAAAACTTTTCTCCCTCCCTCACAATCAGGCTTCCGACCTAACTTATGCACCACTGATCAGCTCGTTCGACTCCATCACGACGCGTTACAAGCTGTACATAGTAAAAAAAAAACATATTTTAGCTCTCTTTTTTGATGTTATCAAGGCCTTTGATAAGGTCTGGCTTGCAGGGCTAATCTATAAATTACTTCATCATTTTAAATTTCCCCCGCAGTTGTTGAGATGGATTCCTATCTGCTCGAGAGATCGTTCAATGTGAGAGTCGAGAATTCCCTTTCCGCGAATCACTTCCCATCCGCGGGCGTTCCGCGGGCTTTGTAATTGTATCCCTTCTTTTTATTTTGCATGTCAATGACCTCGCATTCCCGGTAAACTTAAGAACCTTACGAGCCAATGAGCTGACGACACTGCCCTATGGCTCTCGGGCAGACACGAGGCTGCTCCTCGGTCGCGGGCTCAGGCAACAGTGAACGCTCTCTCTAATTACTCTAATTACTGGAAGAAGTGGCGCATCAGCATCCACTCCTCCAAATCGTCCCTCCTTTTATCTGCGCGCGACAGGAAGCCCCATGATGTGAACGTCCGCATGGACGGCGCAAGCATTCCGCGGTCTCGCCGCACTTGCTTTTTGGGCGTCACTGTCGACGGCAATCTCATGTGGAACGAGCATATTAAGAAAATTGGCACCAAGGCCATTAATAAATTAAATTGCCATAAAATCCTTTCAGGACCTAATAAATGCGAGCCACACGTAATATAAAGCTTTACCTCAGACCTTACCTCAGACCAGTCCTTACCTACGCATTTCCAGCTTGGGCCAACTGACCCGAGCTCCTTAGCGTAGATTAAAGGAGGGACGATTTGGAGGAGTGGATGCTGATGCGCCACTTCTTAAAGTATTTCAAAATGTATTCTCCACCCTTACAAAAAGGGACATAAGAAAAGAGTTAAAGTTAGGCACACAGATTCATAGAAGTAATGATTTTGATAAAAATCAAGAATTTCGCCCCCATATGTCACGTATTTCAATGGAGACGTACTTTAAATGCGTGTTTCCAATTTCGCAAAAATGAATGAATTAATCACTATCCAAGGTACTAGCCACTAACCACTATCCAATCACAATCCGAGCGCCGAAGGCGCGACCATATCGAGCTTGTTTGCCCGAAGGGCAAACAAACTCGCTAGTATATAAATATATGTAGAATAAGCGGACTCCAACCCCTCCCTCGATATGCTTCTCAACATACTTTTGATTATTATAACGACCCTAAGACGTACAGGAGACATACAGGATATCAATAACAGAATAAATAAATAAATACACAATCGGGGGCTTCAAGCACACTAAAACCTATCTTCATACGAGAGTATAATGATCATGCAGCGCCTTGGAAGGACCAGCGACGAGACCTGACTTTGTCTCCCGTGCTCTACAGTTTTTTTTTCTGCAACAAGGGGATCGAAGTGTCCCAAACTCGACGATCTCTATCCCGTGACCTTCGCTCCTGTCGGAAGTCGACCCTAGCCTTGCAGTGCTTTTCTTCTGCTGCATAGGGCCCGCCGAACGCCTCACTTGCAATACGTCATACTTCTCTCTTCTCTATAATCTTCTTCCTCCCTTTTTCTTATCTTGTAAGGAAAATTTAAAATATTAAATATATATTTTTAAAAAACTATGAAAAAGAAAAAAAAACTTTTAAAAGAATGAAGAAAAAAAAATTTCCTTCTCTCATTTCCATCTCCTAAAGCGGCCACTTATGATCTCATTTCGCCCCTCTCTGTTCCAGCAGTTCTATAAATAGTTTATAATATTCAAATCCCCTGCCCGCAGGGCGTCAGTAACTGGAAAACAGCTCTCTGCACTCTTGGGGCTCCTGTCCTATCTTACTTCCGATAGGATGGAAAGACTTATTAGTGATATGCAAAACACCAGTAAGCATGAATGCAGAATGAAAACGAATGGCAAGGAATTAATCTTTCGATCCCTTCCGCTCTATTGTGGACCTAAATGTAATAAAGCCCCACTGCACTAACACCTCAACCGACAGCCCGCATCATCATTTCAGACTGCTGACTCGAATGTCTTACTTAAGAGTAAAAGTTAATTGAGAAACGGGAGGGATCCAGGTGAGGGGGAGGGTCCGAAAGGAGAAACTC